ACAGAGCCTGCCCAGGTATATTTAAACAAGTTCCCAACTCGCCTGTACAGTGGGGTAAGGCGCTCATTTTGCAGCTCATGGTTTAAAAACAGATTGGCTGGAATTTCCTGTAAAAAAGATGCCATCTTCTGCTATGCCTGTAGACATTTCGGTTCAAATATATCTAACTCAGATGCCTTCACCACAATTGTACCAGAGTACCAAACGCTGTCTCCTGGTACTCATCTGAGTAACTCACTAAAAATGAAATACTATATGACAGTAAAACAAGAATAGAGTTTAAAAGGGAAGTGATTTGTAAAATATCCATAAAGAAATAGAAAAATCTGTTTACAGTTCTGTTTCATATGGATGTTGAGAGATGTATCCATAGCTCTCTTAATTTTGCTCTCAAAGTGCACCAGATTGATGCATTTAACTTCAATATTTAAAAAAAAATCTTGTGTTAGATCCACTCCCCACTTATAAAAATAACACTTTACCCCTGCACCCCCTCTAATCTCAGATGCACCCTGAGTCATTTTGTTTAAGTACAGTGAGCCTTTCCAAAATATACAGTAAAGAGACAAACCCACCAGCATTAGGATATACTATGACTTTGAGCCAAATTCTTGTTTTTGGGCTGTATAAATAAATTGACTTGAAACAGTTGCTGATTTAGAGTACTGGCACCTTTTTTATTCCAATTCAAGCACTGCTTAAGATGTGCCATTTCGCGTAACCTTTTAAAATTACTTTTCATTTAGCTGATGCTTTTATCCAAAGCAACTTACAAGAAGTTCAATCCACCATGAGGATACAAATTCAGAACAGCAAGGATCTTGAAATTGCCTTGGCTTGAAAACAGCAAAAACCTTTTAAGTGCTACATACAGATCTGAGGACGAGTGTTTTCTTGTTGTTTGTTGTTTAGGCCAAGGTGCAGGCAAAACAAGTGGGTTTTCAGTCTGGCACACAAAATGTGTAGATTACCTGCTGTCCTGATATCAATGGGGATCTCTTTTCACGATTTTGGAGCCAGGAAAGCAAACAGGCGTTTTTGTTGAGGGATATGGGTCCCACAGACAGTGAGTATGAGCCAATTTGCACATGCTTGAGTGTATGGTTTAACCATGTTCTGGATGTAGGAAAGACCAGAGGCCTGTACTACGAAGCCGGATTTTCGCTTAGCCGGCTGACTTCAGGGAAAACTCGGGCTTTCCGGTCCTACGACGCTGGTTCTCTTTTTAGCGGGCTAGATCTCCATGGTAACTTATGCTGAGCGGCTAACCTCCTCGGGAGGAGGTTAGGTTGCAGGCTAAGAGATCAACTCAGTGAAAGCACCGCCTGCTGACCAATCAGAGCTCCGTGTGCGGAGTTTAAAGCTATCAAGTCATATTACAGGATAGAGGAAATACAGAAAAACTGCCGTTGCAGGAAAGACGGCCGGCCAAAATCAACTGACTGCGTGAACGTGAAAATTAATAGAATATCCCCTCCTATCTTCAGAGCAATCTGACTATTATAACATTAGCGTTAAGAAAGCTTACTTAAATATCTGCCACAACATAAGTAACCGGATCAGAGTAACATTAAGTACAGTCCGCGGCACTGTGAGTGCAGACGTCGATGTGTCCCATTATCATTCATATCATATCACATCATAATGTATCATATATTTCCTTATTTGAGTCAGCTTCTTGAGCCGTATCTGGCCGTGCAACACTCACAGTGTCACATACTGTATGCAGAAGTATTATTTTAAGCAACACATTAAGTTGACGAAACACTCGAGTCAAATGTAATTAAAGTCAGATCCACTCGTGTCTTAACGGGGCAGTGATATCATAAACCTGTTAATGTACGCATTCAAACGCTTTTTCTTTTACCAGCTATATTCACCTTGCAGGTGCAGCTATGTGGCTTTTATCCTGGATAAAGTGTTTAAGTCATGGATGTTTAAAGTTTAACTTCTTCATATTTGACTAATATTAAAGTTAACTTTTCATTCAGGAAGTATGACGCTGCGCTGTCAGTACGCTTGTCCGTGTTTGTGATTGGTCGAATGCTCCAAATACCACCCCTTTCATGTGAACGCGCACCTAACTAGATAGGACACGGCTGGCTTGAGCGATCCACTTGATAACCAGCGTCGTAGTACAGTTTAGCCAGAGCGCGTATGTTTTGGATTGGGCCAACCGGCTAACTCAAACATATCCAGGTTAGGAAAATCCGGCTTCGTAGTACAGGCCTCAGGTCCATTCACAGCATGGTAGGCCAGTACGAGTGACTTGAAGATTCAGGCAACTAACGGTGACCAGTGAAGGGAGCAGATTCATATTCGAGTGTCGAGAGGAGACTCTAGACCTCACTCTGCTTTCCCCTGCTCCTGTGGGGCTGCTGTCTCTGCTTCTCCACATTACATAACATAACAAATCTGATCCCAGTGGGATTGAGCCAAGTGTAACCCGGAGTATACAAAGACATGCTGAGTCCGTTTTCCAGCAGCTTGTGTAACTGCTGAGTTTGTGAATATAACAGCAGTGAGCTGAGTGCATTACTGTCACACAGAACCTCATTAAAACTCACAAATGAAATGTTTGCAAACACATTTATTATAATGCAATCTGATGCAAGCACCAATGATGAATGATGCACTACTGATACAACTCTGTACAGTGATTTAACATCAGCACAATAATAATCACTTGTTTTCTTACACAGAACCATCACTGTCAGGATGCTGAAGAACTTAAACATTTCCCTGATTGTGACATCAAAGCCTGATGTGTTTTTGCGGTACATCACAGCACCATTTTTATTTAAAAAAAACTATTTGATCAACATGCATGATTGAATAGGTTTCATTTTGGGAAATTGCGTATTGACATTTCTGCTGGTACCATATCAAAGGCATTTTTATTATGACAGAATTTCATGCAAAATTGCAATAATTGTCAATGAATGAAAATATATTTATATGTATAACCTGAAAGATAGGCACATTATGAAGGTCTGCTATAATCACAAGGCTCTTTATCCTTAGTCTCGCTGTTAGTCCTATTTATTTAGTCTATAGTGTGTAGACTATAGTATATACAGTATGTTAAAGCAATACACTTTATACTGACTTAACATATGTACAGATCATTATTTTATTCACATATTCTTAGACAGAAATATTTGATCAAACCTTAAAAATAAATGTTGAACAAAATTCAAATTGTCTGACATTTAGCACAATGCAAATGGCTACCATTTTAAAGGACACCTATCATGCTATATTTAAATGATATATTGTAGGGCCATACCTATATAAGGTATATTTATACGTTTCTGTTTTCAAAATACCAAACAGATCATGCATTTTAGCCATGCCTCATTTCGCTCTATTTGCTGTTTTCCAGCCCTGTTTTTGCAGGGGGCTGATTCTGTGAGCTGCAGCTGACCACGCCCCCCTGCAGGAGAGGGGAGCCGCTCTGATCAAGTCAGAAGAGGGGGAGAAAAATAGATCTCCGTCCTCCGTGTTTTATTATATAGAGTCGTTATTCATTTGTTTTAAAGCTCAATAAATAACAAAGAAGACCTTTGACCGGCACTTTTCTAATTTTGTCCGGAAGATTTCAACTTTAACGGACATCTTGACCGGCGAAAGAAAACCTAACTGAAACTCTGCCGCACGGTCCCCTCGTTCCTTGGAAGAGGCGGAGAGGTGGGTGTTTGTCATCTGCTGGTAGACTAACCGGAGAGAATTACACTGCTTGCCTCCACGGGGAGGGATTGCATTGAATTAAAGCAGCGGGAGCAAACGCTTGCCTCGGGGAGGGAGAAAAAAAGCCACAGCGGAGAATAAACAGAAGGGTAACCATGGTAACCATGCGCGGGAAGTCTTCTTCGCTGCTTTTGTGGCAGACTACAGCGCCATTTACAGGCCTGGCATATGTACTACAGCGTCTCCAGCGCTTTCGAGCGGCAATGGCCGGCCGTGGCCCAACCCCACATTCCCCTGATAGGTGGAGAGTTGGCCCAATAGCCGTAGCGCCTCTTCTGTGACGACATAGAAGTGTTCAAATCTGGATCAGTTTTTATCAGATCCGTTGCAGCCCCTTTTTTAGAGATTTGGGTATGGAGGAAAATAGAGAGGGTTGTGTTTTCTGACACTTGGTGAGTTCCCTGGAACACCGGGGACACATATTCATGTATAAAAGATGTACAAAAGTGCATTTTGCATGATAGGTCCCCTTTAAGTGCATTTAAATCGTTTTAAAGTAAGATGCTGAAAAATAATGTATGTCACACAACAGAATACAATTTAAGATTTAAACTTCTTGCTGAAAAACTTGTATTCCACAATAATTCAAAGAGGAAACAGTGGCAGGATTAATAACGATTAATGTATATTCCCACTACTGACAAACAAGTAAAAACATAAACCAATGTTGGCGCTTCTCCTGGAAATACACTCTGCTTCTTCGAGTTATTGAAAAGCTTTTTGAAACTCTGATGTTAAGTCAGAAAGAGGTTTAACAAGAGGGAGGGGACATATTTTCTGAAGACAAATGGGAAAGGCTTTCAAAAGGGTTACAATTTAAAATGTTCACCCTCCCTGCATCATTTCATGTTTGAATGACCTTTGTTTGTTAATATGCTGTTACATTTGAATTCATGAAAAGTTTCAGAACGTGCACTTTCTTTCCAAGAGTTAGATTATCTAAAAATATAACCACTCTCTTCTTGGATTAACACGGAGAAAATGTACCTCAAACTAGGAGATGATTTGCTTAACTTTGCCAGCATCTTTAAAACTGAAAAGTGCACAGTACACCTTATTTATTAAATCTGTACAAAAACCGTTAAAACAAAGAATAGCAGAAAAAGTGGAAAATAAATATAATATATAACCCCCTGCCTCTAAGTACATATTTACAATATAGATGTTCTCTGCAAGAAATTAAATATGCATATTTCCCAAAATCTATTCCTTTTAAAACAAAAGGAATGGAAAGCAGCTACAAAACATGCTCTTGTTGCTTTTAAATTCACAAGTCCCTCAGGACTTCTCAGCATGTGGGGGGTCTCGCTGAAAGAGCAGTTTCAAACCCTTCCTGAAGCGGTGGTCCCTGACGCTGTAGATGATGACGTTACAGCAACTGTTTCCTGCCAGGATCCAGAAGGCAAAAAAGGAAAAGTTACACCAGGTGTATCCCACCACGTTCCCGAGCACAAACACCGCGATGGGAGAGAAGGATGCTGTGAAGGCGAATGTGAGTATGCTTATTGTCTTTGCGGCTTTAATGTCTGAAAAGGAGGGCCTGTGAGAGCACCCTCCCCCACCTCCTCCTCCTCCTCCCGCTCCGTCACTCAGACTCCCCTCTGAGAGCAGTTTGCGTTTTTGGGAGTACCGTCTGATGCTCGTAAAAGACACAATGTTAACAGCTAATGTGCCGCCAAGCAGTGTGAAGTCAAATGCTGGGAATAACAGCAAAATGTAGGCATCGGGTGGCAGCTGGCTCCCGAACATTAGAGGGGTGTAGTTACACATACGACTGCACTCATTGTACTCCAAAATGAAGTTCCTGCTGAAGATGAGGGGTGCAAGAGCCAACAGTAAGCTGGCAGCCCAGGAGAGCAGGATGAGCAGTAGAGTTCTTCTCCGGGTCACCAGGACATCCTTGTGGAGAGGTCGTAGGATGGCCACACTTCGCTCCAGCGTCATGAGGAAGATAGTGCTGATGGAGACGAAGGTGCATCCAGCAAATACGGGGCCAATCAGCAGGCAGGGCTGCCAAGTGCTCACCAGTCCCCCGAGAGAAGAAGAGTTGTCCAGGAAAGTAGAACTACCCTGGTACCAAGAGGGAGGTGAGCTGGTCAACATGAGAGAGATCTCCGTGTAGACGCAGAAAGGGACCACCAGGACACCGACCATCATGTCTGCTATGGCCAGAGACACTGTCAGAGAGAGACAAAGAGGAAGAGGGCTAAGAGGACATATTCAGGACAGTTTTTTTGTTTACACATTTCCAGCTCTTTTAGTTAAAATGTCACTTTGTAATGGAAATTATCCAATGTTGGTATTCAAAAAGGTACTGCAATGAATTAGCAAGACCCTCTAAGGATTTAAACCTTACAAGGTCTTTGGTATTGGCACGATGATACATTCTTGTTATTTACCAATATTGATATTAATAGTTATTTGAAATTCCATTTTGCCATTTTATACATTTTGAGAATGAATATTGAATTTCTACCAGAGGAAGGTATTGTGGAATGTATAAGCATATCCACATTGCGTTGGTTTGTTCTAATGATTTTTGAAAAAAACACAATAAAAACATCTACCTTTCAGGTATCCCTGAGGTGTTCGGGACTGCCTCGTTTGCACAAAGACAGTTAGGGTGACCACATTTCCAACCACAATGGCAAAGGCCAGGGTAACCATGAACACCACTGCCAAGGTACGATTGACATATCCACAGCAGCAGAGGGTGCAGAGCGGGGCCAGTGACTCTCCTGAGCCGAGAGCATCCTGCCCCGCTGCACTCAGGTTGAAGGGAGAGTCTGAGGCCTGCAGCTGAGCGGCTGTATTCCCGGGAACGCTGACGTTGTAAAGCAGCGCAGTCATGGCCCGGGATAGACTGGTCTTACCCCTGTGATGTGTAGCTGGTAGGGCCACTCAGGAGACCATGTCCTTGACTGGGAAAATATACTGGGGAAAAGAAAGACAAATATCTGGAGGCAGTTAAATTGTCTGTCCAAATGACGATCCAGTATTGTTATAGGCAGCACTTGTCATTAATAAGCATGTGAAACAAGTGAACCATACTTTTATGGCAAACGTTCACTTGCTTATTGACATTCAACACACCATCAAACATGCAGGTTACATCAGGCTTTACTGTTGGAACTGTTGAACACAGTTGTGTTCACACCCACTCTTTTATTTTTTTATTTGCCTATTTAAAATCACCCTGCGTAAAACAACACCTTCAAAGAGCCTTCCCTCACACAGTCATTCATTCTAAAGTTATTTCTAAAATTAATAAACTGGACATTGCAAGTTAGCAAAAATCTACCTGAGCACATTTAGAGTACACAAGCCTACAAGTTATCGCCAGGCCAATGTTTTTGGCTCTGATCCAGCTGTCCAGTATTGATTGCTGAAAGATACAAAGCATTCGTACAGTACATCATCAATAAATAATAACATATCGATCTTGTATGCTGTTCTGTACAGAAAATTACAAAAAAAGATATATATTTCACATGATCCAACCCTAAGTGCAGACATTTCCTGACATGTGTTTCAGGGTGGAACAGGTCAGCACATTTAGCTTTTAAAAGTATTGAATTACAGTTAACACTTTGATCTGCCCTCTACAATGGGTTTCAGCGACACAAATCTGCATGTAGAGGATTTCATATTCAATCCTTTTAAATGCATGGATAGTTTTTAGCATTGGCTTTTAGAAAAACATATCCCCTGAAGCTCGTCATTCATTTGAATAAACTACTTGTACAGATCCTTGCTCATGATTTATTAATCTGTATAATCTACACATCAATGATAAAAAAGATTACATTTAGAGGCTCTTGGCTTTAGAATTTTTGAAAGCCAAACATTATCAGGATACACAGAGGAATATGTGAGTTTCTTTTCATTTATTAATCTAACATTGCTGTTTTTCAATATGATGCTAAATAAATAATAAAATATTTAATATATTCATCCACCATGTTTTAAGGCAAGGTGTTTATAGTGCAGTTAATCTTACAAATGATTTAGATAAACAACATGTCCTCAGATTAAACCGTCACTGTGCAAAAAAACACACATATAAATGTTGATATTATATTCAAGATTTCCATACAGCGTACTGACAGTGATTTCTCTACTTGTGTGTTGTGGTAACATGCTGTTCTTGTGCCCTACTATAGTTAGAAGCACCTCAATGCTAATCCAAGAAGAGACTTTTAGTTCAGAAACCAAATGTCTTTCTCAGATGACAACTAAATACACACATCCTTCAATCATTTAAGTGGTTCACTGAGCAGGAGAGCAGCAAGGCACAGACATCCAAGAAGAAAAAGGTAACAGGGGTCGACATATTCAGAGCAAAACTATTTCAGGTTCTCACCCTGGCAGGAACATTCAAAGAAATATCACAGCTGTGAGACTCTAAATCCTACAAGACGTGTGAGTTAGCCTCAGTTTATTGAGGTTTTCAATAAGCAGAAAAAACACTTGTGGGAATATGCCCTGTGCCTAGCATAATGTTCAGGATTAAATGAAGACTCAGAACTTGACATGCCCCAAAACTCATTAACATATGATTGATTTCTTTGAATTTCAATATCAGTCTTCAAATGACCTTCAAAGAGACTGGTGGAAAAAGACACTTGGGAATTATTGCTACAGACTGCCAATTCATATTATGAATATAACAATAGTTGTATGTACAAGAGTAAAGTATAATAAACTCGACAAACCTTTCTTGTTTTTCTGTAATATTATATTCATATGCAGTGCTAAGAGCATATGAAATGAAATGGATACATATGTACTATTTTTCAACAAATATTATTATTAGTCGTGATTTTCAAACATGTCTCCTAGAAATGATATGTATGTACTAAATTATTTTCACGAGTATGTTGTTCAGAGGCAGGTTAATATTCTCAAGTTACAGTTTGATCATATTCAACATCTTATGGTCTTCAAAATAAGCAAATCTCATGGATCTGAGCTGTGTTTGTGCTTCAGGTGAGAACACAGCTTGGGCACTGTCGTAGGACTACCCGACAACTGTATTGATAACACTGTCAGTAGCGTCTCAACTGTTGTATATGTAGGCTTGTATTCACCTGGTCATTCAGAGAGGACGCATGAAAGGATGTGTCTTTCTGCAACACTGTTTGTTGTTGCCCAATAGGCAGTGACATCTGTATCCATGTCCTTTACCAAGCAATCTGTTCAAGCATGCTTAACTAAAGGCACAGCAGGGCCTCCTTGTGAATGAACCCTTGATTGATGTTGAGAATGGCCTCACGTCCTCACTACATACTGCCCTGCTGTATGTGAAGGAATAATAGAAATTGCAAAATGAATAACTTTTCAGAACTTACAAAACACCAAAGGAAAGTATTGAAATTATAATCCTAGGCGTTGAACTCCGGAGGCACATTAATTAAGGTGATGTTAATTAAGTTTGGGGTCAATCCAACCCCAGAGATGTCTCACTCCTCTTCTCTTCTAATCCTAATGTAGGACTATTTTAGGATCTGGGATAAATAGTGCTGTTACCACCAATCACAGATGTAGACAGAACCATGTTTTACATGTTTTACATGTTTTTTTAACATGTCTCGGAGATCACAAACAGAAATATGTATGAGAATGTATTTCTGAAACATGTAATCAGTATAAGCACATTTCATAAAAATTAGGAGAAGTCATAAAGTAACCACTTGATGAACAATGTTGGGTATGTTCTTCAGTTAAAGAGGGCCCATACACAGGGTTTAGGTTGAACAAATAAATGTGCTGATTTGATTGGCTTTGTGTCTCAAACCAACACTTCATCTTTACTTCTTAAATTATTCCAAAGTTCTTTCAAGAGGCTTTGGTTGCAGCACTTTAAGCATATGCTTCAAGGGACATAATGTGCATAGAACAAATTGTTCATTTTAATATTCAGATTTTGTTGCCTGATTCTGGGTTTAGACAAATTATCCTCTATGGTTTCATTTAGTGAAGTTTGTTGCTGTTTGGTCAGATTGGGAGCAAACCTGTCATCCTTATTGTCTACTCGCTGAACATTAGTATATACTTAGCAAGTAGCTGAATCTACAATGATAACATTTCAAATCTCCATGCCAAGATTTACAAGGGAGTGTTTTCATTGTTATATAAAATATGTTTTAAATATTAAAGAACTGAAGTATAAAATCCAATTCCCTTTGAAATAGTGAGAGGAGTGGGAGAGAAAGATGAAATATTTTCAGGTGACAGCAGATCGATTTAGCTTTGTGGAGTGGATTGCATCTGACTTGTTCAGATACATAAACAAGTCAAGATGCTGTGTGAATAGGAATGTTATGAAGTAAATAATTAAATGGTGGTCTACTTATTTCAGAATGTCTGGCTTGATTGTATTTTAATAGTTTTAGGGCAAAGCATTTCAGTAATTCCTTTAATCTTAATTTCACCGGTGATAAAATCAAAAGTTAATGCATTTTTCGGATGAAGAGGGGATGAACTTTATTATGGTGCTGTTTTCCTTTACTTTGAGTGAAGACGACAGGCAGAGATCTTCCCTGTGGCAACACTTCAGGCGTAGTTAGAAAGACATCTGAGAGCTAAGATACACACACACACACACACACACACACACACACACACACACACACACACACACATACACATACACACACAATCAGTATGCTTCAAATTGAGAGATCTACCTTTGTGTTGTGTGAGGTGACAGAAATACCACACATTGCCTATCATTTGTGTATTTTTGTAATAAAAACATTTTAAAATTATACATCTAGAATACTTGCTGATCTTAATGTACATGCATGAATCTTCACCACAACTTGCAATCACTGATACTAAAAAAGTACTAACATCACTTTAACAATCAATGGTTCAGCAGCAAGAAATAAGTTATTGATTTATAAAGCTTCCCATAATTTTTGGAACATAATTCCCATAATGCTTTGGGAGTTGTAAACAGGAAGTACAACATTTTCATGTGGTCGGTTAATTAGCTGAGCCCCGTCCTTGAGCCTGTATTTGTTTTTAAATTGGCAAACTGGTTCCTTTTGAATTGTGCCGAATTAGCTTTTGGAAGTTGCGGTTCGCAATGAATCGATGTTTGTTCAGAAATACTATCACTACATTACTTTAATACTAAAAAGGGATGTGTTTCAAGGTCTGGAGTTATAAAAGAGCGTATTTTTCCTAATGATCTCTAAACTCATTTATGGACTATTCTGCTCCAAAGACGTGATATGATATCTTCGGAAAATGTGAGTCACACTAAATGTAAAGTATTTGTATCGTGTCTATGTGTTAACGGTTATATTATAACAGGCACTAAAGGTTCAGCCCATTAGTTCATCGTTTTCAAGGTGTTTCATAAACATTATTATATAGGTGTGCAATCATGAGACCCACTTAGATGTTGTTTTTTTTTTGTTGTTTTCAAAACAAATGTGATGGAGTGTAACAGGGGTTGGTTTCTTTCATTTCAGGAGCACACTTGGGACTCAACAATCAATACATAATTGAGGAATTATGTATTGATTGGAATAATTGACCTTTACACAACATCGAAGGACAACATGTGACCAGAAATCAAACAGTGAGTGGGATTTTTGTTCTCTTCTTGCAGGGACGCGGGAAGGGGGGGGTGCTGAGGGGGCTGCAGCACCCCGATCTGTTGGCGGAGAGTTGTAACTGCAACGCCAAAAAGTTCACTAAACAAATCAATACAAAAGTTTTAGTTTGAGTTACTATTTTTGAGTTAGCATTTTGTGTAAGCAGTCTATAAAAAGCTTCACTATATAAGAGAAAGTGAGAATGCGGTGTGCTTCTTCTGTTGCTCTGCTATAGAAAAG